TGGGATTACAGGGTGAGCAGGGCCATGTGCCCGGATGTCCTCCCACCTGTGCCTCTGGAAGCGCTGGGATTACAGGTGCGAGCCACTGTGGCCCGATCCTCCCACCTCTGGGCCTCTGGAAGCGCTGGGATTACAGGTGCGAGCCACTGTGCCCGATCCTCCCACCTGTGCCTCTGGAAGCGCTGGGATTACGAGTGCGAGCCACTGTGCCCGATCCTCCACCTGTGCCCTGCGGAAGCGCTGGGATTACAGTGCGAGCCACTGTGCCCGACCTCCTCCACCTCGTGCCTCTGGAAGCGCTGGGATTACAGGTGCGAGCCACCTGGGCCCGATCCTCCCACCTCCGTGCCTCTGGAAGCGCTGGGATTACAGGTGCGAGCCACTGTGCCCGATCCTCCCACCCTGTGCCTCTGGAAGCGCTGGGATTACAGGTGCGAGCCACTGTCGCCCGCATCCTCCCACCTGTTGCCTCTGGAAGCCGCTGGGATTACAGGTGCGAGCCACTGTGCCCGATCCTCCCACCCTGCCTCTGGAAGCGCTGGGATTTACATGTGCGCAGCCACTGTGGCCCGATCCTCCCACCTTGCCTCTGGAAGCGCTGGGATTGGCAAAGGTGCGAGCCACTGTGCCCGATCCTCCCACCTGTGCTCCTGGAAGCGCTGGGATTACAGGTGCGAGCCACTGGCCCGATCCTCCCACCTGCTGCCTCTGGAAGCGCTGGGATTACAGGTGCGAGCCACTGTGCCCGATCCTCCCACCTCGTGCCTCTGAAGCGCTGGGATTACAGGTGCGAGCCACTGTGCCCGTCCTCCCACCTCTGCCTCTGGAAGCGCGTGGATTACAGGGCTGCGAGCCACTGTGCCCCGATCCTCCCACCTGTGCCTCTGGAAGCGCTGGGATTACAGGTGCGAGCCACTGTGCCCGATCCTCCCACCTGTGCCTCTGGAAGCGCTGGGATTACAGGTGCGAGCCACTGTGCCCGATCCTCCCACCTCTGCCTCTGGAAGCGCTGGGATTACAGGTGCGAGCCACTGTGGCCCGATCCTCCCCACCTCTGCCTCTGGAAGCGCTGGGATTACAGGTGCGAGCCACTGTGCCCGATCCTCCCACCTGTGCCTCTGGAAGCGCTGGGTTACAGGTGCGAGGCCACTGTTCCGATCCTCCCACGCTGTGGCCTGTGGAAGCGGCCTGAGGTGGGAGGATCGGGCACAGTGGCTCGCACCTGTAATCCCAGCGCTTCCAGAGGCACAGGTGGGAGGATCGTTTGAAGCCAAGAGTTTGAGACTAGCCTGGGCGAAATAGCAAGACCTCGTCTCTACAAAAAATTTAAAAATTAGCTGGGTGTGGTGGTGTGCACCTGTAGTCTTAGCCACTTGGGAGGCTGAGGCAGGAGAATGGCTTGAGCCCAGGAGTTTGAGGCTGCAGTGAGCCACTGCACTCCAGCCTGGTTGACAGAGTGATACCCTGTCCCAAAAAAAAAACAAGACTAAAGAAATCCAAATAAAATATGGGTTTTAGCTGATAATAATGTACTGATGTTGGCTCTTTAGTTGTGATGAACTGGGCGTGGGTATACAGGAACTCTCAGGAATGAGTTTTGCAACTTCCCTGTAAATCGGAAACTACAATAAATAAGCCAGTCCCATAAATAAAAGGTAAATGGGGAAAATATATTGCAAGTCATATCCCAGACGAGGAAATACTGAGTCACGGGTTCATCAAATACTCACGAGCACCTACTCTGTGGCTGGCCCCGAGTGAGGCTCTGGGGTTAGTCCTCTTACAGCATGGTGGCCGCAGAACTCCTGGCAGGCTCTGTTTCGAGGCCGGCAAGAGAGCCTCACTCCAGTCAGCAACAGGGATCTTATGTAACATAAATGCCACAGGAGTGGTTCCAGCACCTCTTCACCCTGTGATGTTACCTAATCCCATGGTATTTTCAGTCCTGCCCACACTCAAGGCAGGGAATGATACGGAGTGGCTACACTGCAGGGTAGGGGCTCGGGGGCCATTCTGAATTTCTACCTTTCACCACCGAAGAATGTCCAATGAAAAAAAAATGCCCTAGTGAGCTCTGTAGACAATACAGCGTCATGACCTTTTCACAAGTCAAAAACAGGTAAGGGTTGGGCATGGTGGCTCGGGTCTATAATCCCAGCACTTTGGGAGGCTGGGGCAGGCTTGCAAGACCAGCCTGGGCAACGTGGCAAAACCCCGTCTCTACAAAAAATACAAAAATTAGCTGGGCACAGTGGTGCGCACCTGTGGTCCCAGCTCTTCGGGAGGCTGAGGTGGGAGGATCACTTTCACTTGAGCCCCAGATAGTGAAGCTGCAGTGAGCTGTGATTACTCCAGTGTACTCCAGTCTGGGTGACAGAGAGAGACCCTGTCTCAAAAAAAAAAAAGAAGATAAAACTAAGTGCCGCCCTGTTTCATAAGAGAGAGAAATATATGCATGTGTATACAAAGTCAAGGAAATGGTCATTACAAAACGAGAAGGATTAGGATCACTAGAAATGAGGGTGAAAAGAATGAGATAAGGGGAGGGACACAGAAGAGATGCAACTTACGGGTCAAGTGTCAGGTTTTGAGTTTATTAGTAGGTTTATGATGTTCAATTTATTATTAAATAAACAAAATGAAAGCCATGAAAGGACTAATGGAGCAAAAGTGTTACGAACCAGTGACAGTGATTAGCCCAGCTATGTGCACCTTAGCTCTTTAAAGTATGTTTGAATACATGCATTCGGTGTTTTCAAGGAGCCCCTCCAAATTGAGCTGCAGATGCTCTCTTTGGGAATCCTATTTCCATGTATTTCTTAGAAACTGACTTGGTGTCTGCAGTTGGGGGCCTCAGCGGTTGGGGTACCCATAAGGATTAGCCTAGCTATGTGCACCTTAGCCCTTTAAAGTATGTTTGAATATGTGTATCCAGTGTTTTCAAGGAGCTCCTCCAAATTGAGCTGTAGATGCTCTCTCTGGGAATCCTATTTCCCCATGTTTCTTAGAAACTGACTTGACATCTGGAGTTGGGGGTCTCTGTGGTTGGGGCAGCCATGAGGTATTGCCCTGCACCTGCCATAGCAGATGTTTGTTGAGTGCATGAATGAACGTTGACGTTTGTGTTAATGCTCCTTTGTCTATTCCTTCCCTCAGAAAATCGCCTTCATGGTAGCACTAGGCCTGGTTACCACGGAACACTTGGAAGGTAAGGAAGGATCCAGGTAGCAGCAGGTTGGGCTGGGACTGACCCGAAAGCCGGGGTGCTGGGGGCCAGGCGTGATGTCGGGTGATCTGGGCTTCAGCAGCAGCTGGTGTGGGTGGAGCGTGGCCTCACACTGCTGCAGTGGGTCTCAGGATGTCCTGGCTCAGATGGCAGCGTCTGTGTATGAACCACCTCCCAGGAGGTCTGCCCCAAGTGCCTGAGGCTGGGTGGCTGTCATCAAAGACACACAAGACGGAGAAACCTTCCAGGCTCACCCTGGCTCCATGACTATGCACAGAACCCACTGTGGCACTTCCTCATTTCAGCGGAGGGACCGTGCGGGTTCCCTGTCCTCAACATAGGGAAATGACAAAAGGCAGACTGCCCGTTCTTGCCAGTTTCTCAAGTGTGGGCGGGTTACTTCTGTGTGTCTCAGTCTCTTCATGTGTAAAATGGGTGATGGCTGAACTGTCCTGGGGGATTGTTGGAAGCAGTGCCCAGCACAGTGAGAGAGCTGACCACCAGCTCGCCTGCCGTCAGACTAGCCTGCGGACTTCATGTGTGCCAGCAAATGTGTCCATGAAAATTGGAACAGTAGTTTATTTGAGCAGACGGGACTGTGACTCTACGAAGGGGCTGTGTGACGTTACGGATGAGGGCAGCTTCACGTGGGCCGTGAACATCATCACAGAATGACAAGGGCGATCTCAAGTGAGCCGCGAACATTGTCGTAGAATCTTAGGACCTGGGAAGCCTCAAAACCAGCCCCCTTGGAGAAGCCCCCATGGGGAAACCGAGGCCAAGGAAGCTGATTCACTCGCCAGTTAATACCAGGCCCAGGCTGGAATCCGGGACTCCTAACTCCCAACCCAGAACGTTTTCCACCACACCCATCTCACCTGCAAAGGCGTTTCATAAAGGGAAAGCACGTACCCTGGTAACCCTGGATGCAGGAAGGTTCGCTAACGTTCCTCTCCCTAAACGCAAGAAGGAATGAAGTGAACCCCCGCAGTGCCCGAGGCACTAGCGGTCTTTACGGTAGTTTCTCTCCATTGCAGCAGGTGAGCGACCGAAGCCCAGGGGAGGGGAGGGACCTGACTGAGGTCATACAGCTCATCCGGGGCAAGTGGGAGCAGAGCAAGCCTTCCCGAGCCCAGCAGAGCCCAGCACACGGGGACCCCAGTGTGCCATGCAGGCTCCAAGAAGAGAGCCCTGTCCCTTCATGTCGCCTGGGTCTGACTTGCTACCTGGCAGCAACCAGGGTGGGGAGGGCCAGGGAAGAGCCCCAGCCTTCCAGATCCCTGGGCAGGGAAGCCCCCTGCAAGCAACCCTTGCCGCTGGCCTTCCCCACCCTTCTGCGTGCATGGTTGGAAGGCATTACTCTCCAGCCAAGGTTCCTTTGTAACCCTCTGTAAGAACATCTGCGAGTCCCCGCCTGATGGTGTGAGCGTGAGTGTGATGAATCCTGCTGCCCTCGGCGTGCCTTTGGGAACGGTTTAATCTCCAACCAAAACCACGGCACCACGGAGGCAGCATGCAGCTGTGGGAACAGAAGTCTTATGCTCAGGTCCTGCCTGTGCACTGGTCAGAGTCCCTGGGCAAGGTCCTTCCCCACTCTAAACCTCAGTTTCCTCATCTGCAACACAGGGAAAACTGCGCCTGTAAACTTTGTGGGATTGGTGAATGACAGCGCAAAGTGCTTTCCTAATAGGTGTGATCATTCTTGGTCTCTTATAAATTGTCCTCACTTAGAAACCTCTCCCCAACCTCTGCTGTGATTTCCTTAAATATTTCTTTCTTGAGACCCTGTGTTCTTCCACAGAAGGTCTGAGCGCCTTATAGAAAACAGGCTGAGTGATATTGAAAAGGTTTAAGAAGCAAAACTAGGTGTGGGAGACAGAGATTAGAAGATGCTAGCACAGCTGCATACGGAGAGGCAGGTCATGGGTCCTGCCTGGGGGTCAAAGCAAAGAAAGAGGAAAAGAAAACACCATCAGCGTGGCCGTGCCCCTCACTCGCACACGAAGGATTCCTGCCGGGGGCTGCGCTGGGGCAGAGGCCACCTGGGTAGAAGCTTTGCTCCTGGGCTTCCGGGAGCTGGGAGCCTCACCCTGCAGCTCTCTGGACCAGTGGTATCACCAGACCAGTGGTATCACCAGACTAGTGGTATCACCAGACTAGTGGGTATCACCAGACCAGTGGTATCACCAGACTAGTGGTATCACCAGACCAGTGGTATCACCAGACTAGTGGTATCACCAGACCAGTGGTATCACCAGACCAGTGGTATCACCAGACTAGTGGTATCACCAGACTAGTGGGTATCACCAGACCAGTGGTATCACCAGACCAGTGGTATCACCAGACCGGTGGTATCACCAGACTAGTGGGTATCACCAGACTAGTGGGTATCACCAGACTAGTGGTATCACCAGACTAGTGGGTATCACCAGACTAGTGGGTATCACCAGACCAGTGGTATCACCAGACTAGTGGGTATCACCAGACTAGTGGGTATCACCAGACCAGTGGTATCACCAGACCAGTGGTATCACCAGACTAGTGGGTATCACCAGACTAGTGGGTATCACCAGACTAGTGGTATCACCAGACCAGTGGTATCACCAGACCAGTGGTATCACCAGACTAGTGGGTATCACCAGACCAGTGGTATCACCAGACCAGTGGTATCACCAGACTAGTGGGTATCACCAGACTAGTGGTATCACCAGACTAGTGGGTATCACCAGACTAGTGGTATCACCAGACTAGTGGGTATCACCAGACCGGTGGTATCACCAGACCAGTGGATATCACCAGACCGGTGGTATCACCAGACCGGTGGTATCACCGGACCGGTGGGTATCACCAGACCAGTGGGTATCTGCCATCTTGCAGGTCCCAAGTAATGGCCATGGGCCAGATAAGGACACACATGGAGGACCCCGTGCTAAGAGTGGGCACGTGGATTTTGGGTACCTGCCACCCTCCCCGCAATCTGTCGTTCAGCCTAAGGCCACCAAAGCTGTCCTGCCATGGAGTCAGTGATTCCTGGAGGCCCTAACCTGCCCTGGGCCACCCTGTGGCATGGATGCTGAGCAGACAGGCTTCAGAGCAGGAGGGGATGGTGGTGCCCAGGGCTTGAAGAGGAAGCATTTGGGGTTCCCAGGGCAGGCAGGACCCAGTAACTGCTGTGTCTGTGACTTTCCAGAAATCCAGAGCAAGCGACAGGAGCGGAAGAGAAGAAGCACAGCCAACCCTGCCTACAGCGGCCTCCTGGAGACCGAGGTGGGGGACCTGCCAGCCCCATGCCACCAGGAGGGTAGGGGGCTCCCAGTGCACAGCCTCCAGGAAAAGCTCCAGGGCCTCCCTCATTCACTTTGCTAACCACCCCCCTCGTCTTTCCCTCCTGGGCGTGGGGCCGAGGGATGACTGTAAATAATACCTCTCTCATCACCTCCGAGTTCAGAATCAATTGATAGGAAGATGCAGAAGAGGAGATGTCAGTTTATTCCTAATGGAGGCTGCCCTGGGGAGCGTGGCCTCATGGGAGGTGCACCGGCTTCTAGACTCTTCACCCTGAATGATCAGGCGAATCCCCGGTCACAGGCAAGGCTGGACACCCCGGCCTCCCTGGACCACCTCACACCTCGTCTAGAGCCTGTGCCGTCCACTCATGGCTGGGAGAGGCGGAGGCTGTACACAGCCTGGAGCAGGCGGGCACCATAGAGGAAGGCCCAGAAGGGGCTGGGTGGGCGTGGCCAGTGCCCTTCTGTCAGTTGGAGCGTCCATCCCCAGGGGTGGGGATGGGAAACCAAGAGCCTGCACCAACATGGGTCCAGTGCAGCAGGGTTGGGACTTCAGGATGCTGTAGGGGAACCAGGTCCTCTCCCGTGAGCTTGTCCCCGGGGAAAAACCAGATCATAAATGATACCTACCTGCCCTTGTAAATGACAGTCCAAAATTCTTCGGTTAAAATCCTAGTGTCATCTCCCCAAAGCCAGCTCTGCAGGGTCTGTTGGGACGTTTAGCTCTGAGGCTCAGGGCTTTCTTAGGGGCAGTGTCTTGGAGCCTTTCTCTGGGATGGAAGCCGTTTCCTTAGAGCTCTGAAGTCCAGAGCTTGGGGCAGCTGTCCTGAGGGAAACGGTGTGCCCCAAGGTCAGTGCCTGGTGTGTGGCAGACGCCAGCTCTGTGAGATCTGCAGGAAGGCGAGGAAAGTGTGGTCTCACCTCCCAGGGTGCGGGCTAGTCTGGGCCACTGTCTGGAATCCTGAGTCTGGGGAGCCTGAGCTCAAGTGGGAGGGAGGCATTTGGCACAGAGTGGCAGCCAGTTCCAGGCCCTGCCATTGCCCTGTCTGTGGGGAGAGCCCACCGTGGGGCGTCCTCTGGCCTCGTCAGCCTGTCCACGCCTTTCCTCTGCTTCTGCCTGTCCCGCTCCTGTTCCAAGAACGTGGCCCACATGGGCCATTTCACACCATTCACTTCCTCTTCCTTCATCTGAGCAAGCCCTGTCCCCCGACTCGGACCCTGCATAAGAGCATCGTGGAAGTGTTTTCAGCCTCCACCCAAGGAAATGGTGTGTTCTCCACACAGTGAGGGCTCCATTCCTTTAGATTTGTTCGTTCATGAAAATGCGGGCTGCTCTGTGGACGAGGCGTTACCCTAGGCTCCTGAGTCTGAGGCCAGGGCCAGAGACAGCGTAAGCAGGTCAGGAGTCAACCCAAGGTCCCGCGACCCTGAGCCTGGAGCAGGCACACAGCCCAAGGGGGCCCTTCCCCAGGTCCACAGCCTGACCACACCGAGAGAAATGGTGTCAAATCCAGCAACACAGTTCTACGACAACCGCAGCCAAAGCCACTTCGAACCACCAAGGTCTAGACCGGTGTGGCCTGTGGTTGCCAAAGCCAGGACTAAGGCTGCTCTTCTGGAATGTTCCAGAAACCTTTGTCCACATGTGATGTTTAAGGCCACATGCCAAGAAGTGGAATCTGGGGGAGCCAGTCTATAACACCCATTTCTCCACCTGACTCCAGAGCCAGTTGAGAGGCAGAAGACAGGTGGAGAAAGTGACGTGCACCGTGTGACTGATGTGCCCCACGGACGGCCCTTTGTGAGCTAGATGCACCCACAGGTGCAGAGAGGGTGTCCTAGACCTCCTGCAGGCAGAGCCTTTGTCGACTTCCCTGCCCCACCCCGCCCTCAGTCATCCCTGCGTCCTTCTGCCTTGTATTTGTTCCTGTTTCTGCCCCTGGCAGGGGTTGTCCAGCCAGAGCCTGCAGCCCTGGGTGGGGACCCTGTCCCAGAGTGAGTCCTGACCTGGGGTGGCGTCACCACCGAGGAGAGCCTGCAGACGATGGGGTGTGGTGTTTTGTTTTCTGTCCCTGCAGAGGAAACGGCTGGCCTCCAACTATCTCAACAACCCCCTGTTCCTCACTGCGAGAGGTAAGCACCGGCTTCAGGCTTTCTGCCAGTGCTGCTCAGGGCCACGGGGAGTCATCCCTGGGTGGTCCTCCACGCCTGGGCCTGGGCAGGGCTGCCTGCCTCCCACTGGGCTGACCTGGGCAGAGGAAGGTGAGGACGCTATGCTGAGAGGAGCCTCCCACCTCCCCGCTCCTCCTGCAGCCTGTGTGTGAGCTTGGAGCTGTGGTCTGGGGGAGGTCCACAGCCTGGGCCATAGGTGTGAGCATGACCGATGTGGCATCTGCAGGTGTGACCCAGCCCGGGTGCTGCTGCTTCCATATTCCCCTGGAGATGACCTCTCTTCCCCGCACGCAGTCAGCCTCTGATACTCCTGGGCTGGGCTGGTGCCTCTCAGCCCACACCTTGCCCACCCTCCTCTGCCTGCTCTGGGCATTGGAAGAGCACAGGCTGGACTGGGGTGGGGGTCTCAGCCCAGCTCTGCCTCTGCCTCGCTGTGTGCATTGCTGTGGGCCGAGGGCTCCTGTACAAGGCATCAGGCCAGATCTTCAGGCTGGGACCTGGCCTGAGGCCTCTACCTGAGTCTGCAGTGCCCCTCCCTCCTCTGCCAGCCGTGCCCCAGTGCAGGACCTCAGGGAGCCACGTCCCTGCATTCAGACAGCAGCAGGAAGCTGCCAGTTCTCTTCAGTTAGAAAACCATAGTCCCACGGGCAGGAAGTGACGGTCAGCTTCCTGGGATTCTGTGTAGGTTTCAACATGTCACCATCCCTCCCTGGGCCTCTAGAAAGTGGGACCATAGCCACCTGCTTCTCAGAGCTGGGACAGTGACTTGAGGGGTGAGTGTGACTGCACTTTGTGAGCTGTCGAGTGCTGTGCAGACGCCGGAACTGTTCTTCCCACTGGGTGGCATTATTTGCAGATGGATCTGATCTAGAGCCTGAAAGATACCTATGTTTGCGATCATTAAAATGTGTGGTTTGGTATCATTTACTAGAATGAGTGGATTACAGTCAAAAAAGAGTTGAAAATAAGTCACTTTGAGGGGTTCCTGGAGTGATGGTTCCTTTCCCCGGGCAGCTCACTACCACCATGTCCTCAGTGAGCACAGGGCCCACATGAGCCTGTTCCCATGGTGGCTCCTAGCTGTGACCAGGGCAGAGACCCTTACTCCCATCCTGCCCAGGAGCAAGACCCCAAGTATCACAGGGCCTTGTGATACTCCCATCATGCCCTGGGGTGAGAGCCCAGGTATCACGGGGCCTTGTGATACTCCCATCATGCCCCGGGGTGAGAGCCCAGGTATCACAGGGCCTTGTGATACTCCCATCATGCCCCGGGGTGACAGCCCAGGTATCACAGGGCCTTGTGATACTCCCATCATGCCCCGGGGTGAGAGCCCAGGTATCACAGGGGCCTTGTGATACTCCCATCATGCACTGGGGTGAGAGCCCAGGTATCACGGGGCCTTGTGATACTCCCATTATGCACTGGGGTGAGAGCCCAGGTATCACGGGGCCTTGTGATACTCCCATTATGCACTGGGGTGACAGCCCAGGTATCACGGGGGCCTTGTGATACTCCCATTATGCCCCGGGGCAAGAGCCCTTGCCACATGAGGCCTCATGGACTCCAGTCCTGATCCGTGCTCCTCCGACGGCCACTAACATGTTCTCCGCCCTTCTTCCCTGTGCTAGCCAATGAGGACCCCTGCTGGAAGGTACGTGTCCCCTCCCTCCGTCTTCACGCCTCAGGGGTGGAGAATGTTTTCAGTACAGTCCTTGTAGGGTCCCTCCTAGAAAGAAGGAAAGAGCCTGGGTGGTGCAGAAGGCCTTTTGGTTCTGCCCTTAGGTGCTAAGAGCTTTGTGCAACACTCAGCCAGCTTTCCAGCCTGCCAGGCAGTGTCAAGTCGGGCGTTGCCCCAGGGCTCTGCTGTCAGCTTCAAACAGGAGCCCTCCCTGCTCAGAACTGAGGATACAGAGACTGTGGGGGCCACTAAGGCCCAACTGGAAGCAGCCAGATGGTGCCCCCTGGCCTCCACCCTGGCTCCACTGGCCTCAGTGTGACCTGGGCAGAGTTGGCCCTCCCTGGTCCTCTGTGACCCATCCAAAAAGGGGCTGGACTTGTTAATCCCCAGGGATTCACCCCACACACCCACATTTCTGTGATCCTGTGGGGCCCCCACCCCCTACCCGTGCACACACCACATCCCTGATTCCCAGAACATTGGCTGGTCATGACCTCGTTCATGGCATGGTCTCAGAATTTATTCAGCGTTTTTCTTCACTGAATTTCTGATCTAATTCTAAAAGAACATTCAAGTCCCTGCATATTTGTAACGGTCAAGCCTCTAAGAAGCAGTAGGTGATGATTGCCGTCAACTCCGGTTAGGCTGTGTCATTTTCACAATAGCGCTGCAATGGCACAGGTTGGTGCTGGGGGGCCTGGTAGTGTTTGTCTGTAGACACCTTGTGCTCATCCAGGGCAGGTTTGGGGACAGGGGACACCTGGAGCCTGAGCCCTGTCCCCACAGAGCCCTCAGACTTGGGAGGGCCTCGGCTTCGAGGCAGGCAGCCTGGATGCTGGTCCCGACTCCACCTTCAGCTTGCTGTGTGACAACCGCCTTCCCCCCACCGGCCTTTGCATGACACAGAGGGTGGAGATGGGGATCTCTGAGGCCTCGTCTGAGGGTGCTGCCCCTTCGGCAGGGACATCCAGTGTCCTTGTGGCATGGTCCATCCCAGAGGAGAGTTCTCTGGTCTTTCCCGGCTCTGAAGTTGGAGCATGCTGTTGACACATGGATGGCGAACAGAGTACAGGGTCTTGACTGGGGCCTCGCCGCCCCTCCAGGCAGCGTCCACATAAGCAGTGGGGGCGGGGAGGGAGTGCTGCATGCATCACTGGCCCCGCTCCCCGCACATGGACCTCTGGTACAGCACAGACCCTGAGAGGGCTGTTTTCTTGGCCACAGCAGGACACCCTGCCTTGTCGCCCGCACCTGGGCTCCAGGTCTTAACACAGAAGAACCAGGTTATGGGAGTCACACCAGGCCCGACTCCGATGCTCAGAGCCCCAGCCCCTAGTAAACCTGGCTCTGTGGGTGCCCCGCCTCCTCCCAGGGCCCACGCCTGACCCCACACTGTCGCCCTCCAGGGTTTATCCCTCTGTCTCCGTAGAGCTGCTGGGAAACGTTGGCAGAAGAGCGGCCACACGTGGGTCAGACACAGCTGCCTGGGCCTGACCCTGGCTGACCCAGCCCCCGCTGACCCGGCTTGGCTGACCTGCCTCTTGCCCTTCCTTCTCTTCCAGAACGAGATCACCCATGATGAGCACTGCGCTGCCTGCAAGCGAGGGGCCAACCTGCAGCCCTGCGGCACCTGCCCGGGGGCCTACCACCTCAGCTGCCTGGACCCGCCCCTCAAGACGGCGCCCAAGGGCGTGTGGGTGTGCCCCAGGTGCCAGCAGAAGGTATGGGAGACTGTGTGGCCCCCTCACCCCAGACTGGCCTGGAGGTCCCCACCGTAGGCAGAGACAGGGAGGGCAGAGGAGGGGTGAAAAGAAGGGCTTGGGTATAGTCCGGCTTTTTCAGCCTCAGCACAATTGACATTTGGGGCTGGATAATCCTTGGTTGTGGAACTTTATCCTGTTTATGATGGAATTTTTTTTTTTTTTTTTTTTTGAGACAGAGTTTCACTCTGTTGCCCAGGCTGGAGTGCAGTGACACGATCTCGGATCATTGCAACGTCTGCCTCCTGGGTTCAAGTGATCCTCCTGCCTCTGCCTCTCAAGTAGCTGGGGTTACAGGCGCCCGCCACCACACCCAACGAATTTTTGTGTTTTTAGTAGACGGGGGTTTTTTTTTTTTGAGGCAGAGTTTCACTCTTGTTGCCCAGGCTGGAGTGCAGTGGCGTGATCTCGGGTCACTGCAACCTCCGCCTCCCGGGTTCAAGTGATTCTCCTGCCTCAGCCTCCCGAGTAGCTGGGATTACAGACGTGCACTACCACGCCCGGCTAATATTGTATTTTTAGTAGAGACAGAGTTTCTTCATGTTGATCAGGCTGGTCTCGAACTCCTGACCTCAGGTGATCCGCCCGCCTCAGCCTCCCAAAGTGCTGGGATTACAGGCGTGAGCCACCGCAACCAGCCAGTAGATTGGGGTTTCACCATGTTGACCAGGCTGATCTCAAACTCCTGATCTCAGGTGATCACCCGCCTCAGCCTCCCAAAGTGTTGGGATTACAGGTGTGAGCCACCGTGCCTGGACTATTATGGGATGTTTAGCAGCATCCCTAGCCTCTACCCATGAGATGCTGATAGTGGTCTTCTTTCAATAATGGCCTTTTAAAAACCTGAATCTTGCTTTGGGGAATCTAGTCTAAGGAAATAATTCAAATAGGGATAAAGTTTTGCGCGCAGAGAAGCCCCACACCCTTTATTTACAAAAGACTAGAGGGGAAACGGCCTCTCCTCGCAGCAGGAGATGGTGGAAGATCCCAGCTGTACACTCAGTGAGATACTCCGTCAGCATCCAACAGGTTTTTACAAAAAGTGTGATTCTTTGGATCTTGTTCACTATATGGAATTAAATTATAAAAATAAAAAACAGGCTTTACAGCTGCTGTGTAGTTTGGGAATCAGCCATCTGAGAAAAACGGCAGAGTAAAAACCCTGGGAGAAAATGCTTGGGAGTGTGGCCCCTGAGTGTGGTGGGTGGCAGGTGGCGGCAGTGCTGGGCTTCAAGTGTGCCTTCCACAGATGCAGGACTTGTGTGGTCATAGGGAGTTACCTTTCTCTCTTTTTCTTTTTCTTTTTTTTTTTTTTTTTGAGATGGAGTTTCAGTCTTGTCGCCCAGGCTGGAGTGCAATGGCACGATCTCAGCTCACTGCAACCTCCGCCTCCTGGTTCAAGCGATTCTCCTTCCTCAGCCTTCCAAGTAGCTATAATTACAGGCAGGAGCCACCACGCCCGGCTAATTTTTTGTATTTTTAGTAGAGACAGGGTTTCACCATGTTGGCCAGGCTGGTCTCAAACTCCTGACCTCAGGTGATCTGTCCACCTTGACCTCCCAAAGTGGTGGGACTACAGGCATGAGCCACCGCGCCCGGCCTGGGAGTTTTAATACTTTATTTCAAAAAGTATTAACCATTGTGAGTTCCCATCGTCCTTGGTTCTGTGGGGGTCAAGGGCAGTGGATGTGGTGGGCAGGTGCTGCTGTCGGGCTGTTCCCTGTGGGGGCTGCCTGCCCATCCTTTTTTTTTTTTTTTGGTAGACAGGGTCTTGCTCTGTTGCCCAGGCTAGAGTACAGGAGCACGAGCACAGCTCACTGCAGTCTTGACCTTCGGGGCTCAGTCAGTCTTCCCACCTCAGCCTCCTGAGGAGCTGGGACCACAGGTACACACCACCATGACCAGCTAGTTTTTAAATTTTTTGTAGAGGTTGGGTCTCACTTTGTTGCCCAGGCTGATCTTGAATTCCTGGGTTCAAGCAATCCTCCCACCTTGGCCTCCTAAACTGCTGGGATTAATGCCCAGCCCTTTTTTTTTTTTTTTTTTTTTTTTTATGCCTCTTCTTGCTTTTTTCTTCTTTCTTTTTGGTCACAACTTTTTGAGGGCATGTGGAGAGGGAACAGGATTCTGTTCCCCACTTCAGCACAGTATAGGGGGCATCGAGTCTCCCCATTTGTCCCTGGCGTGCCTGGGGCCGCTGCCTTCAGCTCTTCTGGATGTGGGAGAAAGACAAGTGATCATTCATTCGAGAAGTATTTGAGCCGCTGCCTGTTCAGGGCCCTGGTGATGAGCAGGGGGAGAGGCCCAGAACGTTCCTGCTTCATGGAGCTGATCTTATCGTGTAGCCCCTGTGAGCCGGGCCATGAGGCAGCTGCAGCTCCAGCTCCTGGTCTCGGGTGAGGACCCCGGGGCCCAGGGCGTGCCCTCTCAGGGTTACACAGCCAGGGTGTGGCCAGTCCCAGCAGGTCCCGGGCCTGTCCACTTTTTCATTTCCCCATCTGCTCCCCAGGCCTTAAAGAAAGACGAGGGTGTGCCCTGGACTGGGATGTTGGCCATCGTGCACTCTTATGTCACCCACAAGACAGGTGAGGCATCCTTGAGGAGTGGGAAAGGGTCCCTGCTCCCCCTCCTCCCCCACCCAGGCCTCTGGGCTCACCTTGTCCTGTGGGAGGACGGGTAGGTCCATTCCCTTCCAGGCCAGAGCACTGAAAAGTGGGACCCTGGGACCGATCCTGTGTCTGGGGCAAGTATGGCCAGGGGAGAGTGGCTCCAGGTCCTGTGCAGTTGACCACAGCCACTGGCTCCTTCCGGGGGATGACCTAGGCCTTGGTTCCATCCCTTCTGCCCCTCCCATTTACTCTACGGCCCAGCCACTCCTTACCTGCTCCTGTCTGGCGACCTGGCCTTCTCTTTTCTAGTCAAAGAAGAGGAGAAGCAGAAGCTGCTGCAACGAGGCAGTGAGCTGCAGAACGAGCACCAGCAGCTGGAGGAGCGGGACCGGAGGCTGGCGTCAGCAGTGCAGGTGTGCCCCGGGGCCTGGGGGAGGCTGACCTCAGCCCTGCAGGTGTGCCCTGGGGCCTGGGGGAGGCTGACCTCAGCCCTGCAGGTGTGCCCCGGGGCCTGGGGGAGGCTGACCTCGGCCCTGCAGGTGTGCCCCAGGTCTGGGGGACAGGCAGATGTGTCCTTAGAACCACAGGTGTAGGTCCAGGCTGGCCTCAGTGCCGGTGTGCACCAGGGAATTCTGGGGGACAGGCAGATGTGTCCTTGGAGCCACAGGTGTAGGTCCAGAGCTTCACTGTTCACCTATAAGGCCCAGGAAGAAGACAGAGTCACCAAGTATCCCCCAGCAAGCCAGTACGTGGAGAAGGCAGCGCTGTGGCTCATTCAACAGATACTTACCAAGCGATTGATAGCACGCTGGCTGTGCCCCTGCTCAGGCCCCTTGGCAGGGCCCTGACTCTGAATCTGTTTCCTCTTGTGTAAAGTGAACATAATTCCTCCTCCATAGGATGGAGATAGACAAGATAATGAAGATGATGGTTGTGGTGGTGGTGATGATGGTGATGGCAGTCATGGGGATAGTGGTGATAGTGGTGATGGGAATATGATGGTGGTTGTGGCGGTGGTGATGGTGCTGATCACAGTGATGGTGATAGTGGTGATGTGATAATGGTGATGGTGATGGTGATGATGGTGATATGGTGATGGTAATGATGATGGTGCTGATCACAGTGATGGTGGTGGTGATGGTGGTGATGGTTGTAATGATGATGAGGATGGTGGTTGTGGTGGTGATGGTGGTGATGGTGCCGATCACAGTGATGGTGATAGTGGTGGTGATGATGGTGGTAATGGTGGTGATGGTGGTAATGATGATGGTGCTGATCACAGTGATGGTGGTGGTGGTGATGGTGATGGTTGTAATGATGGTGATGGTGGTGATGATGGTGATGGTGATGGTGCTGACCACTGTGATGCTAATGGTGGTGATGATGATAATGGTGATCATGGTGGTGATGGTGCTGACCACTGTGATGCTAATGGTGGTGATGATGATCATGGTGATCATGGTGGTGATGGTGCTGACCACTGTGATGCTAATGGTGGTGATGATGATCATGGTGATCATGGTGGTGGTGGTGGTGATGGTGATGGTGATGGTTGTAATGATGATGGTGATGATGGTGGCGATGATGCAGACCACAGTGATGGTAGTGATGATTATGGTGATGGTGGTGGTGGTGATAATGGTGATCGTGGTGATGGTGGTGGTGATGGTGGTGGTGATGGTGATGGTTGTAATGATGATGGTGGTGATGATGCAGACCACAGTGATGGTGATGGTGGTGATGATAATAGTGATTATGGTGATAGTGGTGGTGGTGGTGATGGTGGCGATGATGCAGACCACAGTAATGGTGATGGTGGTGGTGATAATGGTGATTATGGTGGTGATTATGGTGGTAGTGCTGATGGTGCTGATCACGGTGGTGGTGGTGGTGGTGATAATGGTGATCATAGTGATAGTGATAGTGGTAATGATCACAGTGATGGTGATGATAGTGGTGGTGATGATGTGTTAGAGGATGGTGATGGTAATGGGCCCTGGGGAAGCTCTTTAAATGCAGTGTCTCATTTAATCCTCTCTATAACGCTATGAAGAGGCTTTGTGATTGTCCCTATAATCATTTGAGAAACCATCTTGGGGAGGTTATTTGCCCAAGCAGTATTTGACCCAGAGCAGATGGATGTGGGACTCTAGGCATCAGTCCTTACTGCTTTTCCTTGTTGTGGTGGTATGTAGAGAGATTGGAAAAGACCACACAGCACAGCAGGCAAGAGGAAGAGCAGAAGGGCGGCCGGGAAGCGAAAGGTCTCCGAGGCTGCTGCAGGTTGGCCAGCAGGGGGAGGAGGAAGAGTGTGGGCAGCTAGCGAGGAGAAGGTCACATCACAGCCATGGGGAGGACGTTCCCAGGCAGAGGCACACTTTTTCTAGCCCTAAGTTCCAAAACAAGCATCGTCTCCTGTGGGACTGGCTACTCTTTAATTGCATTTGTACCACTGCCTGGCTTTTGTGAAAGCCTCAGCCGGGTTTCTTGCAGGCCTTTGCAGTGGAGGGGAGAGGGGCCCAGACGGTGGCTGCCCCAGGATGGCTGTAGAGCTGAATGCTAAGACCCTTTCTCCTGGCCTTCTGCCCCAACAGAAATGCCTGGAGTTGAAGACAAGCCTGCTGGCCCGCCAGAGGGGCACCCAGTCATCCCTGGACCGCCTGCGGGCCCTCCTGAGACTGATACAGGGCGAGCAGCTGCTCCAGGTCACCATGGCGACCACTAGCCCCGCCCCACTGCTGGCCGGGCCCTGGACCAAGCCCTCAGTGGCAGCCACACACCCCACCCTCCAGCACCCCCAGGGCCACAACTGACCCCGAGGGACCAGTCTTCACACCCACGGAAAGTTATTGGGACCCTGCTTACCCAGCCTGGGGGTTCTGTCGGCCTTAATTCATAAACACTATGAATTTCCGACAAAAATTAACCAGACAGAGGAGAGGAGGGAGAAAGATCTGGGGGAGAGGCCTAGAGCCAAGATCAGGTGGGGGTGCAGCCCTGTGCCCTCCACACTCACAGGAGGTACCTAGGAGCCAGGTGGGAGTACAACAGGCTGTGGCACACAGCCCCACCCCCGGCCACCTCAGGGCTGCCTGGGCCTCCGGCTTCCAGGCCCTGCTCTCCACGGCCTCCCTCTGGCCCACTGGAGGGGCAGGCTGAGGCTGTGGAGGGGACAAGCGCACCGCCCAGCATGCAGTCCCCGCTGAGGGCACCGCCTCTTGGTGTCCTGTGGGAGAGGAGCTGAGAACACATGGACTAGCTGAGTGGTAGAGGTAGTTGGGACGAGAAGCGGGGTAGCGGATCTAGGTGTTCCATGCCCCACATTCCTTAGGAGGTCCACCTGGGGTGGATGGGCGGGCGGTCCTGGGACCCCCGTCGTCTTTGCAGACTCGCCCGGGCCCCTTTCTTCAGTATATTAGGGTTACGGAATTGCAGGCTGTTTAACCTTGAAAGACATTGTCAGAGCGCTGAGCGGCCCCCTGGTGGCGCGTGCCTGTCTGGGGCCGGGACGCTGCAGTGATCCCCGCCAGGGCCTCCTGCCCTGTCCTGCTCCGTCTTCGGGCCCTGAGGCTGCCTCCTTCCTTTTTGCCAATCTGCTTGGACTCAGTTGCCGCTGAGATTTTTTCATGGAGTTTCTGGGCAGGGTGGATCTGCAACCCTGTTGGGGAGGGCATTTGGCAGGTTTTCTCTTTGGGGTTGAATCATTCAACTTAATGACTGAAGCCTTTTCTTGTCTTATTTGGAAGAGCCGATAAGTATTCCACTCCTCCCTTCTTGCCAGTGCAGACACTATGCCAAAAAATAACTTCACACTTTTGTATGGCGTTTTTATCGTGAGACATTTAATGTGAACGGTGGGGGGACTCTGGCTGGCTTCCTTTTCTGCTTCTAGTAGTCTCTGCTTCAAGGTACAAATGGGAACACCTCCCCTCGGAAAGCCCGGCCAAGCTGGAAGATCCAGCGGGTTTTTTAAGAGCCGGGTGGAGGATTGGGGAGGAAAGAAAGGGCGGTGGCCTCAGGAGGTTCCGACCTTCGGGGACCAGACTTGCTGCCAAGGGCTTCTGCATCCAGGGTGGGCAGTGCCAGCCTGTCACCCTCGCCCGATTCCCACGTCCCGATCCTGAGGGACTTAGCACAACAGGACAAGCGTCCAGGAGCCACGGGCTCCCACCCCGAGCATATCACATGGTGCCGAATTGCACTGAACACGCGTGTGTGCGTCGCACGCGGCCACGACCACAGACACGCACGCACACACGCAGAGGTGCAGAGCGAGGAGGCCGGCAAATCCCACAGCTGCCACGGTCCCTCCTGTCATTCTCACGACTCCGGGAGAAACTGTGCCGTATGATACAGATCTATTTTAATACACATAACACTGGGTGAACAAGATTTTTATATTCTTTTATTGATGAACAAAGCGAACCGTGTGAGGCACACGTCTTCTATATTGGCTACTCTGTGCCAAGTATGCATTACCGCGTGGCTTGCGATGTCCATGTCTTCAGCTTCCTTTTCTGTTGGTTTGGTTTTCTTCGCGGATGGATTGAGTTAAATGTTTTAACAATGTCATGGGAGGATATGAAAGGTTGGACCCGGGAGGGGTAGCTGCCAATGTGTCTTGAGATTGTTAGTTTTTTTTTTTGGACCGAGGAGGACCGTCCAGTGGGTAGTGAGGATAGAGAAAAAGTGCTTGTCTTAAATACGCCAATGTAGTTTTCCTTCTTTACAATGCATTAAAGTCGATCGCTGATTTCAAAGCCCTGTGGTTTTGGTGTCCTTGCCTTGCGGAGAGGCCCCTGGGAGTGCCCGGGGCAGCCAGGTGGGCATTGGAGAGGCTGGAAATCAGGGTCCTCTCCCACCCCAAAGAGGGAGGGATGGAGGGGGGAAAGAGGAGAGAGCTCGGTGCCCTCCACTCGCTCACCCTCTTGCCCAGCCCTCAGAGGCGGCGGGTGACCGTTTAGGGCTAGGATTGAGGGTGGAAAGCCTCGGAAACGCAGCAGGCCTGTCACTGTGCGGAGCCCAAGGTGGTGCCCTCTGCTCCCTCATGGGTTCCTGCCTCTCGGCCTGGCAGCATCGCCGCTGTCTCTCTCCCCCAGCAGTGGATACACGCGCTCCTGCAGCCACGCTGAGCTTACACCTTGCCCTACGGGACGTGGGGAATCAGGAAACCGGGGAATCAGCCCCCCTGAGTCCTAGCTCCTGGCATTGCACAGGGCGGGGCTCTGATTGAACCAGTGGGTCAGGGCTGACCCCTGGGCAGTCAGCTGTGGCCAGAGGCTGTTGTCTGATGCCAAAGTGGGGTCCAGTGATCCAGGGGACAGAGAGGTGGAGGGCGTGTGGGGCTGCCACATGGTCCCACTTCATGGCTTACCCTGGGGAGAATAGTTTGCGGGGAGGGGAGCAGGTTTCAAGTTAACTCTGCCTGAGTCCTCCTGGGGGCCGCTCAAAAGACCACACTCAGCGTCCAAGGCCTCTTGGATCCTTTTCAATCCGGCTCCCCACCCCTTTGCTCCTCTGGAACACCAGGTCGGTAGTGACCTCCCATGGCCAGATCCACGGGGTGCTCCCGGTCATCACCCAGACCTCTCGGAACCTGGGGACACATTGGCCACACCCCCTGCCAAAGGAGGCTCCCGGGACCTCACTCCCGCTGGTGTGGCTGCTCCCTGGTCTCTGCTCCAGACTTGCTCCTCTTCTACCTAATCACCGAAGGCCCAGGCCCAGGTCTGTGCTCTGATCTCCCACAGCCGGCCTCACCTGCCCCTGGCTTCTGTCTGTACCCCCAGGCTCCCTGCACAGCTGCGGCTGTCTCAAGCTCCACAGTCTCCACCAGGCCAGTCCCTCCACCTCCCCATCTCAGAGGAGCTTCAGGCTGCTGGGGCCGGCACCCTGGGAGTCACCCTTGGCTCTTCTCTCCCACCCTGCATACCTGGTCCTTGGCAAATCCATCAGCTCCGCCCTCAGGACGTAAGCAGGATGGGACAAGTCTCACCGCCCACCCCAACATCACCTTGGTCCCAGCCCCATGATCTCCCCTGGGTTCCTGCAGCCGCCGCCCACCTGCTCTCTCCCCCTGACCCGCTGCAGTCTCTTCTCAAGCCAGCAACTAGTGTGATGGCGACACTGTTAAAACCGTGTCATCCGGGCGCCTGTAATCCCAGCTACTCGGGAGGCTGAGGCAGGAGAATTGTTTGAAACTGGAAGGCGGAGGTTGCAATGAGCTGAGATCGCATCACTGCGCTCCAGCCTGGGCGAAAGAGCTAAACTCCGTCTAAAAAACAAACCAACCAACCCACCCTGCTGCCCTGCGTCTCGTTCAGCAAAAGCTAAAGGCCTCACCCTACTCACCTTACTTGTGCCTCCAGGGCCACAGGCCCCGCTTGCTCTGGCCTCTGGCTTATGCCCTGCTCCTCTCCTCCTTGCCTGCCTCCTCGCTTGCTCCCACCGTGGGGCCTTTGCACATGCTGTGCCCTCTGCCTCCAGCCATCTCCCTGGCCGGCTCCCTGAAGACCTGACCCTGAGCACCGCCCCCTCTCAGTGCTGCCTTCCCAGCCCCTTCCCCAGGACTCTGGCATTGCCTGTCCTCCTGCCTGCTGTTTGGTTCCTTGGGGTTCCACAGCCTGCTGTGTGCACCCCTGTCGGTTTTTGTCTGCCTGCTCAGGAAGACAGGGAGTTTGGCTGGTTTTCTTTCCGAACCCCAGCATCTAGAAGTGCCTGGCAAACAGTTGGCACCCAGGATAGATTTTGGAGAGACAGAACTGCCAGGCCTTGGAGCTGTGCCATCCTGGTTCAGGGCCCTCCCCTGGGGAGTCCCTTAGGCCACCCCAACTGCCAGGTGAGGCTGGGCGGGCAGATGAGAAAACAGAGACCAGGAAAGCGATGGAATTGCCTGAGATCCTGCAGGTTCTGAGTGGGTGTGCCTGGACTCCACTCGATCCTTGTCCTCCAATCCCACGCGATTCCACCACAGCCTCACTCCCAGCCAGGGACGGGGCTCGGGCGGCTCCTGTGACCTCCAGCTCCTGGACCATGCAGGGGATTCCCTCCAAAGCACCCCTCACTGCCCTGCCCCTCTACTTCAGCATCAGTGGCTCCCTCCCTCCCAGGGACAGCTCTGCCATTAGAAGGGGGCTCCCACGACGTGCGGACATCTGCCGCTCGTAGTTCAGCACACCCCACCCCACAGCACCCAGGGGACCCTGCGCTGGGGCAACCCTCAGTTTGGGATAGTGGTCACTCCAGAACCCCCACTCCCAGCTCCATCTGATACAGCCCCTGGAGAGCAGGGTGCCCAGCTCAGGGTGAGTTGGCTGTCCAGGGCAGGCCGTCAGCGTGGAAGGAAGCTTCTCTGGCAGATCCAAAGGGCCAGCATCCCTGCGCTGCTGCTTGGGGGCCATTGTTAAGTAGGGGACGAGCGTTGCTTGAGCACAAACACAGGGACACTGCGATGGTTAAGCTGATCAACGAGACGGTGGCCAAGTGACTCATGAGCAGGTAGCTGGACGGAGGGACGCTTCCTATCCAGGATGGGACACTGCTTATGAATTGTTTATTTCTGGAATTTTCCATTTAATATTTTTGGACTATAGTTGACCATGAGTAAGTGAAACTGCAGATAAGTGGGGATTACTGCATAAGGGTCATTGTACTGGGGGTTAGGACTTCAACTCTGGGGCACACGACTTAACCCTGCTATGGTTTGAATGTGTCGCCTCCAAAATCCAGGTGTTGCTTGTGTGATAGTATTAGGCGGCAGGGTCTTGACAAGGTGATTAGACCCTGAGGGCGCCTGCCTCGTGAATGGGATTGGTGCCCTTATAAGAGGTGCTTGAGCAAGGTATTTCATCTCTCTCCCCTTCTGCCTCTGGCTGTGTGAGGAGGACACAGCGCTCCTCCCCTCCAGGGGAGCCGTTGGAAGCAGAGAGCAGCCCTCACCACACAGCCGACCTACGGTGCCTTCATCTTGTACTTCCCAGCCTCCAGAACTGTGAGAAAATCCGTTTCTATCCTGTGTAAATTGCCCAGTCTGTGGTTTTTTGTTGTTATTGTTTGTTTGTTTGTGTTTTGAGACAGAGTCTCACTCTGTTGCCCAGGGTGGAGTATAGTGGCACGATCTTGGCTCACTGCAACCTCCACCTCCCAGGTTCAAGCGATTCTCCTGCCTCAGCCGCCTGAGTAGCTGGGATGACAGGCACTCGCCACCATGCCAGGGTAATTTTTGTATTTTTAGTAGAGACGGGGTTTTGCCATGTTGGCCAGGCTGGTCTTGAACTCCCGACCTTAGGTGATCTGCCCACTTCGGTCTCCCAAAGTGCTGGGATTACAGGCGTGAGCCGCTGTGCCCAGCCTTAGTCTGTGGTATTTTGTTATAGCAGCAGAAACTGACTAAGACAAACCCATCATAGACAGCTTTCCTTGGGTTGCCTGAAAGCTGCTTTCCTGTGGCTTCTGCTCTCTGGAGCCATCTGGAGCTGCCCTGTTTGCCTCCTCTGCCTCTCTAGGGGCACATGGCCCATGATGGTACAATATAAGTACCACATCTCCCAGTCAAGTTGATGTGTTAATGAACAGGCTACATGACCCAAGCCATGCCAGCAAGAGGCCTCTCCAGGAATTGTACCAGTTCCCTCACGAAAGAATCATCTAGCACTAAAGAAAGGACCATGTGAGCCTTAAGTACCTGGAAGCCCGCTTATTGGTGTTTTCAAACCTTATTAATTATTGAAAGCCTCTGCTTGCCCACCCACCAGCGTTGGTACCTGCAACCCACAGGGGTGTTTTCTACTTGCAAGTGACTGTGGACCAGCCCAGCCCAGCCAGCTCAGCAAACCTCAGCACCCAGAGAGCTTGCAGCTGCTCCTTCTCCAAAGAGGTCTGAGTCTCAGCCTGGGGATGGGCTTCCCCTTCCAAATTGTTCCTCCCCAGGATACTTTCGTGTAGCCCGAGGGTACTCTTTAGAGATCAGTTTCTACCCTAGTAGTTATTGCCCTGTTATAGCTACTGATGGTTTACACCGAACGTTCCCTTTTCAAATTATTGTGTGGTTTCTGTTTCCTGAGTGAACTGTGACTGATAACACCTTACATCCTGAAACCTTGCCACATCCTCTTATTAGTTCTAGTAGTTGTTTTGTAAACCTCGTAATGCTTTCCATCTAAACAATTATGTCATCTGCAAGTAGAGTCAGTTTTACTTCCCTCTTTCGAGTCTTTATGCCTATTAGTTTTCTTGCCATATTGCAATAGTCAGGATCTCCAATACGGCGTTGAATGGAAGAGGTGAGACTGGGCACCCTTGTCTTGTTTTTGATTTTATAAGGAGAACGTTTCAATCATTTGACCATTAAGTACATGAATTCGTAGATAGAAAGTCCCTGCTTAGTTTGCTTTGAGTTTTTAAAAATCACAAATGGTTTTAAAATTTTGTCAAACACTTATATTCATTTTTAAAACAATATGGGTATCTCCTGTATTCTGGAAATACGATGACTTATATTGATTTTCAAATGTTAAACCAACCTTGAATTATTGAAATAAACTTGGTCACTGTATAGTATCCTTTTTCATATTGCTTTATTTGATTTGCTAATATTTAAGTATTTTCATATTTATATTTATGAGGGATATTGACCTATAGACTTCTTTGCAATATCATCATCATATTATGGTATTAAATAAGTTGAAATGTTCTATTTTCTGGAAGAAGATCTTTTTATTTGTTAGAATTCACCAGTGAAGCCATTTGTGCCAAGAGTTTTACATACGAGAAGGTTTTTTTCTATTTAAAATTTTCAACATATTTAATATACAGGGCTATTCAGATACTCAGTTTCAGGTAAGTTTAATTATTCAAGGAGTTTGTTGTCTTGCTGTTTATAATATTTTCTTATTTTACTATCTGTAGACTCTAAAGTGATAATTTTTATTCTTAATTTCTGATTTATTTTGATCTATCTAGCTATGTGTTCATGAATTCTATTTATCTTTTCAAAGAGCTAATTTTTGGCTTTGTTAATTTTCTCTATTGTTTGTTTAATTGTTGTTATTTCTGTTATTTCTTTCCTTCTACTTATGTGGGTTTGCTTTGATACATAAATTTTGTTTTCTTAATGACTAGTCACTAGTTGTTGATATTCGAATTTTCTTTTTTTTTTTCTTTTTTCCTAATATAAACATTTAGATTTCCCTCCAGGTACTGTTTTAACTGTTCCACAAATGTTGACATATCACATTAGCATATATTCAAATTAATTTGGATTTGAGTTCAGATTATTTTCTCACATCCATTATGATACCTTCTTTGACATGTGAATTATTTAGAAGTTTGGTTTCTTTTTCTTTTTTAAAAAAAGAAAAAAAGAGGCCGGGCACGGTGGCTCAAGCCTGTAATCCCAGCACTTTGGGAGGCCGAGACGGGCGGATCACGAGGTCAGGAGATCGAGACCATTCCTGCTAACATGTGAAACCCGTCTCTACACAAAATACAAAAAACTAGCCGCGGCACAGGGGGCGGGCACCTGTTAGTACCCAGTACTCGGAGCTGAGCAGGAGAATGGCGTAAACCCGGGTAGGCCGGACGCTTGCAGTTGCACTCCAGCCTGGACGACAGAGCTAGACTCCGTCTCAAAAAAAAAAAAAAGAAAAAAAGAAACCTAGATATCACTTATTTTTATTTTCAATTTTATTTCATTATAGGCTTCACATGATTTCAATTCCTTTAAATTTATTGAGACTTGTTTTATATTCCAGAATGTGGTCAGTATTTCATGACTGTAGCGTGTGCACTTTGAAAAGAATATGTATTCTTCTGTTGTTGGCTGTAACATTATATAAATATCAATCAGGTCAAGGTGGTTGATAGTTGTTCAGATTACCTGTGACTTTACTTTCTGTCAAGTTGATCTTTCAGTTGATGAGAGAGGGGTGCTAAAGTCTCCAACTATGATTATGAAATGTCTATCTTTCTAAATCTGTTGTGGTTTTTTTTTCTTCCTGTATTTGAAGTTCTACGTACTAGGTGCATTTATATTTGATAGTTAACATCTTCTGAATAAACTGACCATTGTATCACTATCAGAAGACCCTCTCTAACTGATGATACTTTTTGTCTTGAAGTTTATCTTATCTAAGGTTAATATAGACACCCCACACTCCTGATGCCTACTGTGTGCATGGTATATCTTTTTGTATTCATGTACCTTCAACCTGTCTTTATAT